GTTTCTCTTTAGTAATTGGAAGAACAATGCGCAAAATCTGCACATCAACACAGTTCACATCTATTTCTGGCACTGAAATTATACTTTTCACAATAATTATTAACATCTTGTGAAATCACGCGCATACACTCAATCACATACAAAGGATAATAGAAAAGCTCACAGGATCGCTTTTCTAAAATACAAAAACCCAACCCACACCCATCTCTCTTATGTAGTCTTCACACCCAATTCTGATTTGGAATCACACAATTTGAAACATATAATTATGTCATGCCGATGAGGAAAGGGATGTGATGAGGCGATGGTGTGAGTCTAGGCCGACTAGAGACAAGTATGTGGGGAGATCAGGCATTAATATATGAGGTGTGAAGACATGAGGCATGAAGAGATGAGGTATGAACAGATGAGGTATGAACAGATGAGGTGTGAAGAGATGAAGTGTGAAGAGATGAGGTATGAAGACATGAGGTGTGAAGAGATGTGATACGATGAGATGTAGAGTTGTGAAAGTGTAGTTGGTGGCCCTACACCCCTTACGTCATAGAACAGCATTAGTGTCTAGACTAGACTTCACCATTTTCAGCCACTGGCTATGGAGCTCTGTTTTTGTTTGTGGTGTTGAATGGACGGAGCACAAAGGCAATAGAAAAAGTTCACGGTTCTTTTTCGCATCCGTAGGAACGCCACCACCCCTGAAGGATCAAAGGCAATAATTATTTTATTTGAACTCGGATGGTGAGGCAATATAGTTATGATGAAAAAAGGAAAAGGACAAAATGTTACGAGTTATGACACACTGTCCACCAACGTAACCAGATCTTATACAGGCAGCGAGTGCGACAAAATGGCACAAAACTGACAAGGAGTACTGAGAAATTCGGCGACCTGACACCTAGCTCCAACACTTCTCCAAGGTGCAAACCAACAACCTTCCAACTTGGAAGGCTCAGGTTCGGAAAGTTCCAAGAGGGGAAGGAAAGCGCAACGAAGAAGAGCACGAGCTACGTGTCACGGCAACTAAGAATGCCGAAAGTTACTGGATGATGACGAAACTAGTAAGACTAATGGACGGACTAGCTTCACTACAACTCGACGGCGCAAAGCAACAGGCCACCCAACTTTGGCGGCTCAAGTTTATGTAATAAACTCTGTCCTTCCCCTCGTGGACCTTTCCGAACCTGAGCTTTCCAAGTTGGAAGGGTGTTGGTTTGCACCTTGGAGAAGTATTGGAGCTAGGTGTCAGGACCCCGAATGTCTCAGTAAACAAGCCTCTTGTAGGGGCAAAGCAAATGTGCTTACATAATAATTATTATGACACAAATGTCTCGGTACTCCTTGTCAGCTTTGTACCATTTTGTCGCACTCGCTGACTGTATAAGAAAGATCTGGTTAAGTTGGTGGACAGTTTGTCATAACTCGTAACATTTTGTCCTTTTCCTTTCTTCATCTTAATAATTACTTTATTATTAGATATTTTGGGTTATTTGACATGGACTAGAACGGGACTGTACAATACCACATATGGGATCAAAGTTACATACTGAAACAAAGGAACTCACATTATTTTGAATCATGTGTGAACTCCCAAGCCGCACAGTGGATCTTCTAGAAGATGAGCGACATTTGAAAGAAAGACGTTCCGCGCAATAAAATTGTTTCTTCTTGTTAATTTGGAAATACATTCCTTTTGTGTAAGAACTGCAATGGAAAACATAAAATTTAACTGTAGATATCAACTGCAATACAATGATAATGTTATTGATTTTACATGTGTTGACGTCAGTATGTAAGCAGTGAAATTTGCATGGAGACCTAAATTAAACATCTGGAAAAACAAACCTTTGGCTGTTAGTATTGGCATGGTCTTCAAATTCTGTTTTCGCTTTGATGGATTTGTCACCAGCGCTGTCACCTGATCAGTTTCTCTAAGGGATGGATTCTTTCTTGGACTAATAGGTTGGAGTGCTTAGCCAAAGATTTCGAACATTCCGCACACTGAAAAGACAGATCTCCAATATAGGCATATCTCCAGTATGGATGCGTTCTTGCTCTGCCTCGGCTTCAGTGACACTTCAGTTCACCGAAAGGTGTGGAGGAGTAGGCACTATGACTCTGTGTAGACGATCCAGTCACTGAAGTAGGATCTGCGTGTTGTGCAGCCCTAGATCTGTGAAAACTGGTCTTGGAAATGCCAGTCAGGAATGTGTCTCACCGAATCAATTTTAAGGACTGTTGAAGAGATTCTCTTTTACCTTACATTGCAGTTAAAGTAACCAAAATGTATTCCTATCGCACAGCTATGAGTCCAATTATACTCAATAACAGTGTCCTCGCAGGGAATGAAATGCACCCAATCATACAGAAGGGAAGGTCAGCTCCTCGTGGAAAATACTTGAAGTATATCATATCCTGTATTTCTTGTGTCGTAATAGCTCAAATTTATTCCAAGTTTAGCAATGGAAAAAATCTAGTTCCTTGCCACAAGTTAATTATACGTATCTAATATTGACTGAGTACGAGGTCAATATAGGAAATAAAAGGCGAGTAAAAGACCAATGCGAAGCAGAGGTCTTTTACAAGGCTTTATTTCCTATACTGACCAAGTACGAAGTCAATATTAGATTTATCACGACAAACAGTCCGTACTTCAAATTTCAGAACGATAACCTCATGAATCCCGGTTTCATGATTGCACAACCGTTGCACCACCACCTACTCATGCAGTAACAATGCTGCACTAGGCACCGTTCCACTGCGCAACCCCTAAGCAGTCAAATATAAGCAGTCAATATAGCCCTAACGAGTGAAATATGCAGGAATATTTGACTGCTTAGGTATAGCGAAAATCAATGGGAGTCAATACTAAGAGAGTGAGAATGCCCATTATAGGCTACCATAATTTGGACACTAATGATCATGAAACTCATTCTAGAGCGAGAAACCCTAAGTTGCGACGACCTGGCTTATTATTATTTATTCACAATCACGTGGCACTAGGCAATGAAATGGTGATGTGGGCGATAGCCAGCCATGGCGGTAATAGAGCTAGAGGAGAGAAAGAAAAAGGATGAAAGGGGAACTGAAAAGTAAGGGAAGCTAGGGCAGTGCTGGATATCAACTAGTATGTTGCATTCTGCAGTAGCTGTGTGAATGTATTGTAACATTGGCAGGATTTTAGATGTTGTGGGAGGAGAGACCAATAGCGGTAAGCAAGGAAGAGAGGAGATGTTTGCATAGAGGCAGACCGCGCAATAGGGAAGCGGAGAGAGTTTCTGGTGCGCATGTCTTGAGATTGAGAAAACCAGCTTAGGCAGGAGAGAGCATGAAGAGGAGCAATGCCCAGCTTAATTTTATGAATTGTCTGGCATGCCAAAAAACGCACGCGGACCGAGAGCGGCACAGCAGAAGCAAGGCGGTCTAAGTCTGTGCTTGGAGTCAGGCGAGGAAGCCGAAATAATATTTTCAAAAGACGCCTATGCATAACTTCGAGTCGAGCAATCAGTGTTTTAGAAATGCCAGCCCAAATTATGCAGCAGTAATCAAAAATAGGCAGAATGTAAGATGTGTAGATAACATTGCGACTGTCGGTGTGGAGGTGGGTGATGTGTGATGAGAGAAATCCCATTACTGAGCTAACACGGCTGTCTAAATTTTCGATCTGGGATTTCCAGGTTAAGTGTTGGTCAATAATGACGCCAAGATGCTTGTGTTTTTCAACTATGCAGAGCGGGGTTGTGGTGCCTGGAAAGGTGAAGGGACTGGTTACTAATGAAGATAGGTCACAGGAACAACTGGGGGGGGGATACACATTACAGCAGTTTTCGAAGAGTTGGGCTGCAATTTCCATTTTTCCATCCAATGAATAACGCCATCTATGTTGGACTGTAACTTGGCACTAGCCTCGGGGAGAGTGGGTGCTGTCACAAGTATTGCTGACTCATCAGCATAATATAGTGATGTGTGATCCATTTCTGCCAGACCGTTTACATACATAAGAAAGAGGAGAGGCCCCAGGATTGATCCCTGAGGAACTCCAGACCGTACATGCCCTTTGGCAGACAGGGCAGAGCCGACACGCACCCTTTGCTGTCTGCCCATCAGGTAAGTACTGAGCCACGTGAAGCAAGCACAATGGATTCCATGGCGCGACAGCTTGTATAGGAGCCGCGTGTCCATGCTGTGTCGAAGGCCTTGCTTAGATCAAAGAAACATAGCATGCTGGCTTTGTCCCGCTATGATAAGCATCACAAATACCATCTTCTCTATTGTATTTGGCATTTGGCACATCCAGCACTGGCGGTGCATCCTAACTGTGACTCTAGTAGTCAACCTATCAACCTCACACTGGTCTGATGCAGTGGAGTAAGATATGTTTTACGTTCTCAGCTATCAAGAGGGAGCATCGCTGGCCATACGAATGGGTCCCTAGTTTGAGTTCTGGTGGTGACAGTCAAATTTCTCGTTTACACATTTTCAGCAAACAAATGGACAGTGAGATAGTATTCGAATATTTTTGAAAAGAAGTAGATCGTTACTATACAGGATGACACATGGGACCAAGAGTACATACATGAATAAGATTTTAGCATCATATCCGAACATGCAAACAGTAGAGTACCTCTTCCAGCGAAAAGATCCGTACCAGGCATGCGTGCTCCAGCAATAGGTTTCGGTTATATAGCTTGACTGATGTATCAAAAAAAAACGGTTAGCGCAATTGAGTGTCATGGTAAATATGGAAACACGTTCCTTTTCTGTAAGAAGTGCAATGGAAAGCAAGAAATGAAATAGTGGATATCACTCGGAGTAAAATGGCAATGATAATGGTTTGGACCTTACGTATTATGTTGAAGTTAGCATGTAAGTAGAGACCTTTCCATGCATAACGGATCGGGCTTTAAGCGACATTGATTTTATTCTACTTGCGGTTCGAAACTGGCCTATGAGTAGCACTTTCAAAAATCTTGAAAAAAATCTTTCTGTTTTACGGTGTTTGTATTTGCATGGTCTTCCATGTTGTTTTTCAAATTGAAAGACTTGTCACCATAGCTGACACTTGATCAGGTTCTCTCAGGAGTGTGGATTCGTTGATGATTTGCGAGAGTTGATATTGTTCGGAAGTCTTTGCCACATGCTGTACACTTGTATGGTTTCTCACCAGTATGGATGCGTTGATGCACTGTGAGATTTGATTTCGTCGTGAATGACTTGTCACACAAGTTACACTTCTGTGGTCTCTCTCCAGTATGGATGCGTTGATGCACGGTGAGCTTTGCTTTCGTCGTGAATGACTTGTCGCACGATTTACACTCGTATGGTCTCTCTCCAGTATGGATGCGTTGATGCACGGTGAGATCTGATTTCGTCGTGAATGACTTCTCGCACGATTTACACTTGTATGGTCTCTCTCCAGTATGGGTACGTTCATGAACTCTAAGATGGGTATTACGGCGAAACATTTGATCACAGTAACCACACCTGAACGGCTTCTCTCCGGTATGGATACGTTCATGAACATTTAGAGCGGATTTGTCACCGAACGGCTTGGCGCAGTATTTGCACGGAAATGGTTTCTCAACAGAGTGAACTCGTCCATGACGTGTAAGATGAGGTAGCTTATTGAACGTTTTATCACACAAGTTACAATCGAGCGATTTCTCTTCAGGATGTGGACATTCATGAGATGTTACGCAAGACTGAGTAGATAAGAATTTATCGCAATGCTTACGTTTATACGTTTTTTCTCCAGGATGTGAATGTCCACGATCTAGCGGATCATGCCGGCGATCAGGTGACTTCCCGGTTTCCTCGCAGAGTGACTTTTCCGGTTGACGATGGTTAGTTTGAAGTTGACAAACTGCCTCAGAAAACGGCTCTGAGGTGTGATGATTGTTGATCCTTTCACGATTGTGATTCTTGGGATCCTCAGGTAAGCTAGCCACTTGGGAAGACACTGGCACATATCCGGCAATATGTACTCTGCGGCCTCCGTTAACGTTAACATTGCCAGCATTGCTTGAGAAATTGCTATACTCCGAGTTTAACGTTACGTTCCCACTGCCTGTGTAGTGATCTGAAACGGGAACGGAATAGTTTACAGTTGCTTTACTGTTGTCTCGCGTACAGTGATCGTCGTCCATTGCCAATGTCATGGGATCCAAACATGGGTTTAAGACAGCTGTGGTTGGAGCTTCACTGGGCTTTGTATCTTTCGCCCTCTGGATGTCGGGTCGGGGGTCCATGACGTTGTCAGCAACGCTCTTCAGCCGATAATCTTGAAGTACACCGAAGGAAGACGTTTGTGTGTTCCAAGAACTGAATGAGAAACCCTGAATAGAACTATAGGAGACCTGTGCGGTCGCTATTTGTTCACCGCTATCGTGGTTTGCGGGGTATAGAGCTGTGTAAGGTGCATTGTAAGGTAATGTAGCTGGCGGTGGAACTGCCCTTCTGCTTGTCCATATCACTAATGGTGGCGATGGTGATTGTGCATCATAGTCGACACACCCCTCCGAAGTGCAGTCACTATCGTCCATGATTCACTTCCTTGACCAATTTTCACCACCTTTTCAAATTAATTCTCCTTCCAAATTCGGCAAGGTATTCGAATTCAATATCAACAATTCAAATAGAAAGACAACTCTTCCTGGTCGTAGCCAAAAGTTTTGTAATGAGTAGCAGCTGGTTATTCGAATTCAATATCAACAATTGAAATAGGAAGACAACTCTTCCTGGTGGTAGCCAATAGTTTTGTAATTAGTAGCAGCTGGTGTTCCCCCTTAGTAAGTAGATGTACAGTGTGCCAAGTCCTCACGTTAATACAGTTCACATCTATTTCTAGCACTGTCCCTTTACCTGACACAATGTGTATACTTCGAAGTAATTCTTGTCATGTAACGCGCGCAGATATACACACACTTACACACACATACAAAATTCCCCACCATGAACTATCTCTCAAATTTCGTCTTTACCTTCACACCTCATTTGGAATCGAAAAATGTTAAACATGCATGGCACGCACCAGACTTGAGAAAGTGCAACAGAGAGTCTTTGTTGCTAAAAATATATATGAATTGAGACACAGTTTTATGGAGGTTCTTTAGCGTAGAGGGAGATATTATAGGAAGGGTTTACAAGATGTGACAATGTCATGATCTTCAACATTAACCTCCGCTTTCGGCACTGATATGCATTGAATATCATTGTTCTTTTATCATGTTACAGTTGTTCACGCAATGAAAAGACAAAAGAGTGTGTTGCGTGCGCACTAAAAACATGAAAATTAAAACTACAGCTAATGTATTTCCCGTGTTATTGGCCTTGCTATAGTTGGTGAAGCGAGTTGTGGTGAAGACAGAAGTAACGAAGATACCAACAGGCAATTACTGTTAGCAACTTCGGCGATTACTTCATATGGAAAGTTTTTGTTCCTCACACCGGGGCTTGCTCTATTCGCCTACTGACTTGATTTTATCAACTCATGATTGCCACCAAGAGTACACAAGAAGTCAACCGAAACTTCGAATCAAGCTAGCCTGCAAAATATCACCACTCTTTAGCCAGGTATCAAGTCAGTCGGCGGAAAGCGCGAGCTCTGTTGTGGGGAGCAACCGATTTTCCTCAGATGATTTCAACCCAATGAATATATTGATTTGTCCACTATGCACAAACACCACTAGTAAAAGATATCTGGCATGCATGCTGCTGGAACGTATCTAGATGTAAACACCTTCCACCACCCTTTCCGATCGGAACAATCTGACCGGGGAGAAATTATGCCAACCCATTTGGGTTGGCATAATTTCTGTTCAGCATGAGGGTTACAACTACTGATCAGAAATTACATTTTCATTTCAAGGCCAACGACCAAAATGTAGTGGTAATAAAAAGAGGGAATATGTTCTTGCCATGTTGGAAGCTTTGTACATATGTTAGTTAGGACCTGAGCTTTGTGTTCAGAAGGAGAATGTGTTGTCTTTGCAGTTGTTTGGCACTGTTCGTCGTGAAGATGCGAAATAGATCCCATAATCTCTTGATATTTTCTCTCTTTTCTTGTCAATATGTTTTTTGTCACTGATTGGATCATGCATGCTGTTTTCTTGACTATTCACATCTATTTTTTCCCTTGTCACTTCTACAAATTATTGGAATGATGTATCTCGGAAATTCCTTTAGTTATAGCTGTAGTCTCTTAGCATATTTTCATCATTCCCTGTAGTATTTTGAGAAGAAGGGAACGAAAACGTTCAATACTTTTTGACACATGTCCTAATTCGCAGGTGCATTCGTAGCCAATACATTTTTTTGTAGTATTATTAGAGAACAAGCGTTTCGGAGACAGGGGTTTTAATTTAGCTACAAAGACAACTAATTGCACCGTAAACATTTCATATATGCCGACATGGATGTGTAAAACGTTGTACGATTATCACCTTTTTGTTTCGCTCTTTTTCCACTTCTTTCACTTTTTTCTGTCCATATAAGATTAGTTTCAAGTAGTCACCATTCCATTGTTACGTAGGTTCACTGATGATTGTAACAAGAAAACAGTTCTGAACAAAATCTCGCTTTCCCTTTCGTTGTGTGCCTTGCGATAATCGTACAACATTTTACACATACATATCGACATAATGAAATGCTTACTGTGCAATTAGTTGTCTTTGAAGCTATATTATTATTAGTATTATTATTAGTTTACACACACACATACACACTCAAACCCCAACACAAACGCAAACACACATGCACAATCTATCTATTTCCATAATTATTTTCACCTTAGCGCGAGACATGAGATCACCCAAGCTTCATGCTGACTCTGCAACACCTGACAAAAGGTGATGCAATCAAAGACACTTTGCTGTTCGAAGATGACAACAAAGTGTCTGCTATGAATAGATGCATGGTTTATTATCGTCTCCTGTGATAAGTCTTAATATAGATAAGCAGTTTCCTCTGAGACAAAAATGCGTTAATACTCATAAAAAGGACACACTTCAGGCTCATTGCAAACATCTTGAAATTTTTTGTCTTCACAAGTATACTTTCAAGCCTTCTCGTCAGGTGAAATACTTAGGCGGTTAGGTAGGTCGTCAAAACCTCGTTATTTACATGTATGTCCAGTGGTTGTCTCTTGTTGTCGCACTGCATGTCACGCGTATTGAGTTTTCTCGCACTTGCATCTTTGTGTCATTATTGCAACTTTCGCTGTTTACTTTAGCTATCTTTTTTTTTCGCTGTTTTATCACCTTCTTACTGTTTTTAATCCACTGTTCCTGTTCCTTTCCCTTGCCTTAATTTCACCTGACGAGAAGGCTTGAAAGTATACGTGTGAAGACAAAAACTTTCAAGATGTTTGTAATGAGCCTTAAGTGTGTCCTTTTTATGAGTATTATGATCATATAGGCAGTGCCGATTATATGTTATGTATGATCTAGTACACTGTGCCCAGTTCTAAGCATTGATATGGTCTTCTTGCCACCTCGACACGTTATAACTGTTGACACTTTCGGTGGAGCTAGATTATTTCGTAGAAAGAATCTGATATAAGCGGAATGTAAATCCTGAGGTGTTAGAAATGCCACATAATATCATGATTCAAATGCACTAAACCAACAAGAGGAATCGCAGAAAGGTAACAAGATTATATAATCAAAGTTGAGAAACCACTGAACGAAGTGTTAATCTTCGGCGTCGTGCATTTATATCATGAAAAACCTGAGTTTTGCAAGATGTAAAAACAACACATTTAAATCCTAAACGTCATGTACGTTCCTTGCATCCCACTAGATTTTGTGGTTTTGTTGTGGTTTTGTGGTTTCACAGGAAGCGAGAGTTTCTAAGTCTGAGGAAAATGTTGATCAGTCGCTGCTTGGATGACTAGTAGTGGTAGAGTGATTAGTGGTAGAGTATAGCTGGGCATAATCGATTGTATCAGGTTGGAGTCCTGGTGGTCACAATCATTTCCCCCTTTCCACATTTCCCTCCAGCAAATGAACATTGAGATAATCTTTTTATTAGAAGATTTTAAACATTTTGACGGGGACTTGAACGGGTCTATACAAATGAGACCAGAGGTAGACATCTACATAATATTATAGGAATAAACAATCTCAAATATTGAGCATCATGTGCCTACATCAAAACAGCACAGCGTCTCTTCTAGGGGAAGGATCCATACCCAGCATGCGTGCAGAAGAGTAAAGATAGGCGGAAAAGTACAGATTTTATAATAAAACATGAGCCATATGTTAAGCGCAACTGAGTTTTTCTGTGAATGGTGGATATGGAAATACGTGTACGAAGTGCATTGAGTAATATGGCTAGAAACTGTACAATATATCAACTCTAAACCAATGATAATGATAATGTTTGTGATGTACAAATATGGAAGTCAGCATGTAAGCAGTGGCCTTTGCGTGGCGTTCAGATTTGCCTACTTGCATTTCCAAAAGGGCCTACATGTATAATGAACATTTTCCATAACCTGGAAAAGAAGCCTTTTGGTTAACGTTAATTTAACATGTTGATAGTCTTCCAAGTGGGTTTTCTTTTACCATTGACCGGCTTTTATTGTTCCTCTCAGAGTCGGATTCTTTCATGCACTGTTAGATTGTATTTCCTAGTGAAAACTTTACCACATATTTTACACTTGAACGGTTTCTCTCCAGTATGGATACGTTGATGACGTGCAAGATTTGATTTAGTTCTGAACCGTTCGTGACAATCGTTACACTTGAAAGGTTTCTCTCCTGTATGGACGCGTTGATGACCTGTGAGATTTGATCGTTTTGTGAATTCTTTGCCACATTTTTTACACTTGTATGGTCTGTGTCCAGTGTGGATGCGTACATGAATTCTAAGTTGGGAACTGGTGTAAAAACCTTTATCTCAGTGATCACAGCTAAACCGTTTCTCCCCGGTATGGTACCGTTCATGAGCAGTATGATAGGATTTATCACTGAATGATTTAGCGCAGAACTTGCACGTGAAGGGTTTGTCTCCTGAGTGAACTCGAACATGACGGACAAGATGAGATCGCCAATCGAAGATTTTATCGCACACTTTACACTTGAAAGGTTTCCCTTCTCGGTGCGTACGTTCATGACGTGCCCAGTCGCACCCAAGCCTACAATGCTTTTGTGCGCCCAGTGATGGAGTACTGCCCTATTGTCTGGATGGGAGCGGCCCCATCCCATCTCGCAAGACTCGACCGTGTGCAAGCCCGGGCCATCCGTGCCATCGCCCCAATGTGTTGGCTGCCGAGTCTTGCTTTTCGTCGGATGGTTGCAGCACTTTGCCTCCTGTACAAGATGCATTGTCCGGATGCGCATCCCCTTCTACAGAGGATGCTGCCACCCCAGCAGCCCCAACACCGAACAGTCCACTCCACCCGTAGTACATTCCAGAGATGTAATACTCACGCACACCAACTGGCCAATGAACTTCCAGTCCGTTCCCGAAACAACCTGTGTCGAGCCTACCCTCACGCAGTTGTCCCCGGCTGGAACCAGCTGCCCGCCGGAGTCTTCTC